GACGCGACTCGACGCGACTCGACGCGACTCGATTCTTCAATGTGACTAGGATGCTGGTTCTCAGAAGTAAATAAGCTGCCTTACGAAAAAAGGATCACGTTTCCTATTGCGTGAAGGAATCATCTTTGTGCCATGAGTTCTATTGGCCACATATTGACTAAATATAGAAACATATCTCTAATCCCCGTTTTTCGGTTTCGCAGATCGAAATGATATCTCCCGTTTCTTGATATGTATTACGGGCTGTATGTAAAACTTGAAACTAATACTCATTAATTAGTCGTACTAACAATATTACATTTTGTATGACTAAAGTGCTGTACCTATTTCGTGAAAATTGTATTCTACGCTTATTACGTACTATTCCGTTTGCATTGTTGAATCCTGGACGCTGAAGTCCCGACATAGCGTTCCGCGATATGCTTTTGCAATACATCTGGCTCTGGATCTCTGCCTAGAATACAAGACATGTGAAAAATTCCAAACAAATACTTTTCGTTAACGGAAGCAGAATGGCATAATTCGAACAATATTAAGATATCCAAATACATTTCTGTATATTCATAAAAATCACATTTACCACTGTAAATTCTACCGCAATCGGATTTTAAAAGCATATAAAGATATGGTGCCTCGAGTGTTGCATGCATGAAGTACAGGCTATCTTAATTGGAGAAGAACTCTAATCAATTATTCGTGACGTGGTATTTCCCGAAAGGGATTCACTATCTGAAACAAAAAAAAACAAATTTAAATACTTATAAATAAAGATTTCAAGTTAGTATGAAATGGTTTTAAACATTAAAATTAATAAATTCAGGTAGTTAGCGCAACACACTACGTTCTACGTTCATTTTTCAAACTTACCCATTGTTGAAGAGTTTATTTCTTAAGTGTGCATTTGCCAAGGAAGCAAACGATTCATTCTTGTATTTTATAGAAGAAAATATAGGGCGTAGAATACCTCACTTCGGGCAGTATATTCGAAAATCAATATATACGCTTAAGATCTGTCTAAATTCTTCCAGAGTTCTGTGTTACAGCATATGACACTGGCCGCTATACCTTCATGATTAGTGACTTGTATCAACCATTCTCTGAAATGAAATTATTAAGAAAACACTTTTTTCCTTTGATAACTTGCTGAAAAATACACATTTTCAGAAAAGCTCAAACGATATTACCTTAAAATCTGTTCCAAATTTTCCAAAGAAAACATACTTATATGTCGAGGTTCTATTCTTCTAGGATATTCGTCATATTTCAATTCTGTTGGGAATACGAAAATATATTTTGTAGATGTGCCAATAGACAGCAGATGATGGTAAGGAAAAGCCGAAAAGATAGTGCAGACTGAAGCGAGAACGAAAGTAGTACGAGAAAGTTTGTGCCATTCTGTTCCGTCACTAGTTTAACTTGCCCCGCACACAAAATCACGTGGGAAATACTCATTTTGTATGACTATTTTAAGATCTAAATTTGAAAAAAAGATTTCGCTTAACTAGTAGTGTTACATTTTCTCTTATTACTGGTAAAGTTATCGTTACATAATTTTGCAATTTTTATCGCCTCTTTCTAATATTTACTAGCGGAACCCGGCAGAGGTTCTGCCCTCTGTGTCTCCCTCTCCCTCTCTGTCCCTCCCTTACTCGCCCTCTCTCCATCTACCTCTCTCCGTCTGTATCTGACACACTAACCCTCTCAAACACATTTGCAGATTCTACAGTCTTTGAGCAGAGGGGTTAATACCGGGAAGCGCCGGACCGACAAAAAAGAAATAAAATGATCAAGATCCTGCAGATTTGAGAAATGTTTCTTTGAGGCCTTTTTCCTCAAAATTTTAGTTTTTAATAGCCTAGATCGCTTCGTTTGGGAGTTATTTAACGGTAGTCAAACATCTTACAGTGTGTGCGAGATATAGGGGTATCACAGTAAAACTGTCAATGGGTAGGGTATATAATGTGTTCGTATATCATGCTTATAGAATAAGTATTTTTTGAGTTAAATCTGTTCTAACAGACGGATTTACAGACATAACATTTATTTGGCATTACATTTTACTTACAATAGCCAGAGTAACATTCGTCCGTTTGTCACTCACGTTAGCGCTCTGCCAATAGAATTGAATAATTTCTAATCGGATGCTCCAACTGGAATCGCAGGCTATCTTATATAATATTTTGTTGTCTCTAAATTATTCTGAAATTACTTTACTGCAGATTACACTTCTCATTACAGCGCATTTAGATATTTTGTGCATACGACAATCTTCAAAATGATTTATTATTATACAAGTAATGGTCTAATAAATGGAGAATTAAAAAAACCAAGCAAAATTCACAAGCAAAAATATTTGCTTTGCGAAAACCCACAATCCCACCTTCACTCACCATGTATTAATATTCCTTGATTCTCAAAATTAACTCTTGTTAAATACTTTGGCACCATACAAAACTAAGCTGGAAAGAACATATCAAAAATACAATAGACAAAACATACAATACAATTTTCAAATTCTAACCTATTATAAATTATAATTCCACTCTGAGTATTGAATGTGAATTACTAATTTATTCATATATTATAAAACCTCCCATCACTCATTTAACAAAATTACAAGTAGTACAAAATATTTTTAACAACAATTACCTACGTCCGATAGTTTATTAGTAACATCCAGTTACACAGAGAATTTAAATAAATAATAAATACCAATTAAAATAGTTAGAGAAGCATTGTTCAAAATTGTTTGTTATTCTTCTCAAAGGTCCTTGTTCTTCCCTTTTTAATTTATGTCCATCATATTGTGAACTAATAAAAATTTAATCTAGTTCCCCAAAATATATATTTAAACCTCCTTAAAGTTAAACATTTTTGTTTATTCTAAATAACTAATAAACTTCGATTCTATATTCGATGACTCCAACCTTCATATAATCAAAATTAGAAAAATTAATATTGTTAGCCAAACAAGACAGTTAAGTTCTGAATTACCTATATAGGTGTTGTGGTGTGATATCTTTGGCATTTTTAAAATAATTAAAGATGTTGTCATTGCCAACAAATATTTTTAAGGTGCAGCTCCTGACGGCGAGAGCTCATATCGGATGCGCCACACTAAGTCTCGAACAGCGATCAGGACTCGCAGTTGGATGCGAATAAGCCACATATAAACGACTACGGCAGTTCGCATATAACTTCTAAATATGTCGTGAGATTAGCAAAACCTGTTATGATCTAATACCAGTATATGGACTGGCAATCTATATAACTATTTTAATCACTTACACAGAAAATTTTTATCTAGGTGATATATTATCCTCTTATCTTACCTCCATAACTAAATACACATTAAATCTACTCAATAGTATCATCTGTTCCTAATTTCTTTCACTCACCGGTCATAGCCTTCTCTAGCGACTCAGACATCTACTTGTGTGTTGTTCCGACTTGCATGACTGATCTGTCTCTGCTTCTTCTGTCTCATTCTGTTTCCAGGCAGCACCATATCTCACTCCCGATACTTCAAATGTCCGAGTCTTTCGCTGCTAGTACCTCTCTCGGAGATAAAATCCCATATAGATCCAGTTACACAACCCACAAGGATCATGTTTTGTGTGATTTATTGGTGGTACTCTTAATTGTCCGTTATTACTATTAGATTTTCTTGACATCCATTTTACTATATTTAACTTTGTCTTATATCTATATCACCTGTTCCTGATCTGTTCAACGTCAGCCACTATTTTCAGCACATGTGATGGTCCACCACCTTCTACTTCTACCAGCAGGTAGAGGTTCATATAATCCATGACGACTGAAAACATCGTCTGGCGCCTATAACTTAATCGATTCTTAGTACCGATATATATCTATTCCTGTCAAAATATCTCTTCTAGATCCGTCTTCAAAGAGCTCTCTTGATAATAGTCATCATACATTTTTAATACACAGACCGAGGAGCGGTTATAACAGGCACGTCTATGTTAACTCAGTTGTTACGTTGGTTGGTCATTTTTTTAGTATTATGCCGGTAGTTGCATATTTGTGATTCTAATCTCCGAGTAGTTACTAACTGAAAATTGTGCACGTTGTCTCCTCTACACATAAGCGCTAAGTCTTACAGCAAATTCATTCACTCCCTCAAATTTTACTGTTCAGCTAAGGCTCTATTCATTTCCTGATAGTCTGTGGTTATAAATATAAATTTATACTACAATATAATTATACATCGCTTTAAGTGTAACATTTTTTCTATAGTTTGACATAGATGTCTCTCTCATATGTCACCTGTCCGTATGCGAATATTTTTCCGAGCAAGAAGGGATAGACATAATCTGAATTTTGCCTTTTCGAGTTGATTTGTAGCCCACACACTGCCAGCTACCATGCAACAGTATTTGTGCCCATATCGATATTCTGAGTGCCTTGCACATTATAAAAGATATCTATGTCATGCAGTTTTACTAGTGACCGAAAACTCTCCAAATCCGTCCAATCTTACGTAGCCATATTACGATTCACGTACTGAGATACTCCAGAGGCCACAATCGAAATTTCAGTTAACAGTGTAAATACATATTTCCTCTCTCTCGATCGAATCCTGACTTCACATTTTACTCCAATACTGATTAACTCCCCAACTGTCTGCCATATAATTGCGACAGCTCATATATTTTAAACAGTGTGGAGAGAATTAACAGTGGCAATCCCATGTCGCAGACCTTTGCTGACTGGGAATGGATCCGAGAGCCTGCTGTAGAAGTTAATCTGAGAGGTGTTATTCTTATATAGATTCTGTGTGGCTCCAATTAAGTTTTAAGATAAACATATCAATATATATTTATAATAAAATTATATTATAAATTCTAAGTAAGGGATTTTTTATTAGCATGAGTAACGTTCTTAGGTTTATTTATTTCTCTCCCAGTCATCTAAATAACCAATGTAGAAACGAGAACGGTTTGCACCCTCTACGTCGTTTAGTTTTCAAGTAGCTGATGATATACATTGAATGCATTTCATTCATCTATTACTTAACTTGCGTGACTTTATTTATTCATCTTTTTATTTTTAGTCAAAAACATTTAAAGAAGATATTTGGAGCCACATACTACGTATACGAAGTAACACATGTATAGAGCAAGAGACACAATGCTGCGTAAAATTGATTTCGAGATTTCAACGGAAATACAGTTTTAGGGTCCCGTGATACCGATAGTGTTTTTTACGTCTATCTGTCCGCCTGTCCATCCCTCGTTAGACAGACAAATTTAGAGTTTTCTGTTGCTAAACATTTCCATTAAAATAACCCCAAGTAATGGTATTTATACTCGTATATTGTTTTATGTGATTAAATGGATGTTAACAGCATATAAAAACCCTTACTAAACATTTGTACTAGAGTCTCATCAAATAAATTATGAAATGTCAGTTTTCGTACCTGAGAATACCGGAGCCAATAGATTCGGGTACTCGCAAGTATGTACAAAAATTTTAATAAGAGGTAAATATGTGAATGTTTTTTGCGCAAAATATGCAAACTCGTGTTGTCGATAAATGTTGAACAAAAATAAAATTACTTTCGTGCACTGAATTTTTTTTTTAAACCAGATATATAAGACAGGGCCTTGCCGAAAATGAAAAGCATTTTTTAAGCCTAAAACGTTAAAATGGTTAATTTTACAAAAAAAAACCTTCACATCAACTTTTGTGACGGAAATTTTGTTTACTTCAATTTTGTATAAAACAATTTTCGGTAGGATTCACAATTATGGAGATATATGCAAAACACATAGTAAAAATCTTCAAATCTCACCTTCTCGAATCACCCACTACACTTCATGATATTTTGAATAATATGCGATACGAGGTACCTGCAAACAACTAAAGTCAAATCTTTACTCTGTTTATGAGTGCAGTATTTGTTCTTTGCTTCATCCATCCATTTGATTGTTTATTATACATTAATGGCAGTTACCTAATTAATTTGAAAATTACATTAAAGTGTTGTATTTACAAGCATCATAAATGTAATTGGACACACTTCTGTACAATTTGCTGTATTAAGTTACATAGATCTGGTCACAAAACTGCCCAAACATTTGCAGCCTTTACGTGCAATGGAATTTCACGTCTACTCCTTTCTCCTCGTTTATGAATGTATCATTAACTATTTGAATATTATTTTAAAACCTATATTTTACATTAATATGCAATATGTATATATATATATATATATGTTGTGTATATATATATATATATATATATATGTTGTATATATATA